TATGTCTGATTATCCTTTGTCCAAGGTGATTGTGTCAGCCCCTTCGGCGGCAGTGGCGCTGGCATTTGATGCAGGAGGAATTGCAAGGCAGGAAGACATTTGGGTTGGCGACTTGACGGAGGAGGAAGCGAAGGAGTTTTTGGCACTGCATGGGCATGAGAACAAGTGGGAGGACTTCGTGGATGCTTGTGTTTCAGCTCAATTCAACAACATGTTGGTTGATTAAGGTGTGTTTGCTGCGTTCAAGTTGCGTTCATGTTTTTTTTTGGGGGGACTTTGACCGAGTTCATTTCAGGTGGCTTCCGGATTGGCGACTTGGCGAAGGCCTGTGAGAATCTGAAGCGCCTGGCTTGAACGGATGATGATTTACTTTTTCGGTGTTCAAAACCTCTCAGGGATATGTGTTTTGTATCTCGTGAACTAAGGAAAGGAATGTCATTGGACAACACTAAGCGAGAGTATCAGCGACTTGCTACTGTGGAAGTTGTCCGCTTCATGGAGCTTCAAGTGCACCCCAAGGTCACGGGGCGCGAGATGTTGCAAGAGCTCCTCAAAGTTTATCCTGAAGGCATCCCAGAGGTTTCAAACGGCATCAGCATCCTCCCAAGGGAGGTTGCCGCACTAATTCGCAACAAGAGTTGTCATGCTGTGTATTTTCACCCAATCAAGAAGCGCTTCTTTTTTGCCTCCAAATTGCATAAGGAGGCCGCTGAAGCGCAACTGGCAAATCCATGACCGATCTTTTGCGAAAATGGCCGGAAGACTTCAGCTCGTTCTTGCTTGTGCATTTGTTCCAGCCCCGTAAACACAACGCACGCATAGTATCAGATGTATCAGGTATGTGAGATGGTGTATTTTGAAATCCCATTCAAGGATAGACGATTCAGGCATGCTGAGCCAAATCCATGCACCTGCACTTCAACATTTCCGAAATCGGGTGTGTTTGCGTTTGATTTGCTTTACCTTTTTTCGTGTTTTTTGGGGTTCTGAAGATGAACAAGGCATGCTGATCCAAATCTATGCACCTGCGCTTCAACATTTCCGAAAACGGGTGTGCTTCTGTTTGATTTGTTTTCCCTTTTTCCTTTTTTCTCTTGAAGATGAAAAAGAAGGGCTGCGAGTTGTGTCCCCCAACTCGTGGCTTTAATCAAGGCATTGTCCACGAAGCAGATCCTGAAGCTTCGCGCGCAATGAAACCCGACATGGACCTTGGAGTCTTTGCAGCTTGGCTGCTGTTTTTTTGGCCAGGCGAGTCGTGACATGAGGTTCGCGAGGATCATGACTTCTGAAAGACCAGAAAGAGCCTCAACCCCCAGTTCAATACTATACCCCGCCCCAGCTCCCACAGCAACATGTACACCAAACACCACAAAAATATATAACAACAAACCATCACATTAACATCATCAACAACTCCAACAGCATACCTGTACCGAAGCATGTGCATAGATTCAGCACAGAAGCCTACAACAAGAAACCGCACCAAAACTCAGCCAACCTAGGCAATGTGAAACAAATGTTTACAATACTGAAAAAAGTCAGATGATGGAGTAAAACTGCACGGAGTGGTGTTGGCACACTCCTTGTTGTAGCCATGAACCGAAGGCACCAAGTGCGTGTCAAGCCATGTATGGTGCTGGTCGGTGGCTTCAGTCTGATGAAGTTGATGGGAGCCTTTGTGCCACCACCACAGGGCAAGGCAAGGACTTGAAAATCATGTTATCTTGGTTCCTAACTTTTGTGATTATGAGTTTGTGTTTAAGAAAAGGCCAGTGTGATGTTTCATGTTTTGGTCTTGCAGATGGCTATGTCATTTGGAGGCGGTGCCAGTGAGATGCACACCACACCTTGGGGCACGCCTCGTTGGGCATGTGGTTGGCTCATGCATCATGGTAGCCCCAGCCTATGCCTCTGACACGTCGGGGCTGGATTTTCAACAATTCGTTGAAGAGTTTGCGGGGAAGAAGGACTTCTTCGCTGCCTTGGCCAGCGCCACCCTATCAGTGGCGGGGGCTACCCTATCAGTGGCGGGGACTGCAGTTGCAGTGGCTCAATTGGATCAAGCAAAGCGCTCTGCTGATGAAGCAAAGGTCTCTGCTGATGAAGCAAAGCGCTCGGCAGACGAGGCATTCAAAGCTTCTCCAGAAGGCAAAATCCAACAAGCGCTGGCAAAGGCCATGGAGCCTTTTGAACCCAGCAGGCCGCAAGACGAGGTCATCCAAAGGCCAGTGATGGAAACTCTCCGGCAACGCATTGCGAGCTGGCAACAACATGCGACCATCATTGGGGGTCGGTACCAGTCAGGCAAGTCTGTGGCAACAGAAGAAGCCTTGCGCGGGGCGCGAGGTGTTGTGCGATTCACCATCAGAAGTGCCGATTGGAACAGATGGATGTTCGAGGAACTTAAAGTGGAAGACGGTGGATTGTTCAAAGAGGTCATGCGCCGAGCGCGCGAGAAGCTCAAGGACTTTCCCGACAACCTCACCAAGTTTCCAATCCTTCTTCTTGAAGTCCCTCGTACAACCACCGAAGGACTGGCTGGACAAAATATGTTTTTCAGTTGTCTATCGATGCTGTAGCGCATTTTGCCCTAGTCTTTTTGTTTCCGTTCCGCTTGCCGAGGCATCAACTTAATCTCTTCTACTGCGAAGGATGTGGCGACGGACAAAATCGGAAGTGCCATTCATGCCCCCCAGCTTCAATGCAAAATTCCAATGTTGCAAACGGAAACCATGTTGAGGGAGTGGTATCTATGTCTGATTATCCTTTGTCCAAGGTGATTGTGTCAGCCTCTCGGCGGCAGTGGCGTTGGCTTTTGATGCTGGAGGAACTGAAAGGCAGGAAGACATTTGGGTTGGCGACTTGACGGAGGAGGAAGCGAAGGAGTTTTTGGCACTGCATGGGCATGAGAACAAGTGGGAGGACTTCGTGGATGCTTGTGTTTCAGCTCAATTCAACAACATGTTGGTTGATCAAGGTGTGTTTGCTGCGTTCAAGTTGCGTTCATTTTTTTTGGGGGGACTTTGACCAGAGTTCATTTCAGGTGGCTTCCGGATTGGCGACTTGGCGAAGGCCTGTGAGAATCTGAAGCGCCTGGCTTGAACGGATGATGATTTACTTTTTCGGTGTTCAACCTCTCTCAGTTTTGTGTTCTTGAACTAAGGAAAGGAATGTCATTGGACACACGAAGCAAGAGTATCAGCGACTTGCTACTGTGGAAGTTGTCGGCTTCATGGAGCTTCAAGTGCACCCCAAGGTCACGGGGCGCGAGATGTTGCAAGAGCTCCTCAAAGTTTATCCTGAAGGCATCCCAGAGGTTTCAAACGGCATCAGCATCCTCCCAAGGGAGGTTGCCGCACTAATTCGCAACAAGAGTTGTCATGCTGTGTATTTTCACCCAATCAAGAAGCGCTTCTTTTTTGCCTCCAAATTGCATAAGGAGGCCGCTGAAGCGCAACTGGCAAATCCAAGACCGATCTTTTGCGAAAATGGACGGAAGACTTCAGCTCGTTCTTGCTTGTGCATTTGTTCCAGCCCCGTAAACACAACGCACGCATAGTATCAGATGTATCAGCTATGTGAGATGGTGTATTTTGAAATCCCATTCAAGGATAGACGATTCAGGCATGCTGAGCCAAATCCATGCACCTGCACTTCAACATTTCCGAAATCGGGTGTGTTTGCGTTTGATTTGCTTTACCTGTTTTTCGTGTTTTTTTGGGTTCTGAAGATGAACAAGAAGGGCTGCGAGTTGTGTCCCCCAGCTCGTGGCTTTCTTCAAGGCCTTGTCCACGAAGCAGATCCTGGAGTTTCGCGCGCAATGAAACCCGACATGGACCTTGGAGTCTTTGCAGCTTGGCTGCTGTTTTTTTTGGCCAGGTGAGTCGTGACATGAGGTTCGCGAGGATCATGACTTCTGAAAGACCAGAAAGAGCCTCAACCCCCAGTTCAATACTATACCCCGCCCCAGCTCCCACAGCAACATGTACAAAACACCACAAAAAAAACAACTAACAACAAACCATCACATTATCATCAACAACTCCAACAGCATACCTGTACCGAAGCATATGCATAGATTCAGCACAGAAGCCTACAACAAGAAACCGCACCAAAACTCAGCCAACCTAGGCAATGTGAAAAAATAATGTTTACAATACTAAAAAAACAGATGATGGAGTAAAACTGCACGGAGTGGTGTTGGCACACTCCTTGTTGTAGCCATGAACCGAAGGCACCAAGTGCGTGTCAAGCCATGGATGGTGCTGGTCGGTGGCTTCAGTCTGATGAAGTTGATGGGAGCCTTTGTGCCACCACCACAGGGCAAGGACTTGAAAATCATGTTAACTTGGTTCCTAACTTTTGTGATTATGAGTTTGTGTTTAAGAAAAGGCCAGTGTGATGTTTCATGTTTTGGTCTTGCAGATGGCTATGTCATTTGGAGGCGGTGCCAGTGAGATGCACACCACACCTTGGGGCACGCCTCGTTGGGCATGTGGTTGGCTCATGCATCATGGTAGCCCCAGCCTATGCCTCTGACACGTCGGGGCTGGATTTTCAACAATTCGTTGAAGAGTTTGCGGGGAAGAAGGACTTCTTCGTTGCCTTGGCCAGCGCCACCCTATCAGTGGCGGGGACTGCAGTTGCAGTGGCTCAATCGGATCAAGCAAAGGTCTCTGCTGATGAAGCAAAGCGCTCGGCAGACGAGGCATTCAAAGCTTCTCCAGAAGGCAAAATCCAACAAGCGCTGGCAAAGGCCATGGAGCCTTTTGAACCCAGCAGGCCGCAAGACGAGGTCATCCAAAGGCCAGTGATGGAAACTCTCCGGCAACGCATTGCGAGCTGGCAACAACATGCGACCATCATTGGGGGTCGGTACCAGTCAGGCAAGTCTGTGGCAACAGAAGAAGCCTTGCGCGGGGCGCGAGGTGTTGTGCGATTCACCATCGAGAGTTCCGATTGGAAGAGGATGATGTTCGAGGAACTTAAAGTGGAAGACGGTGGATTGTTCAAAGAGGTCATGCGCCGAGCGCGCGAGAAGCTCAAGGACTTTCCCGACAACCTCACCAAGTTTCCAATCCTTCTTCTTGAAGTCCCTCGTACAACCACCGAAGGACTGGCTGGACAAAATATGTTTTTCAGTTGTCTATCGATGCTGTAGCGCATTTTGCCCTAGTCTTTTTGTTTCCGTTCCGCTTGCCGAGGCATCAACTTAATCTCTTCTACTGCGAAGGATGTGGCGACGGACAAAATCGGAAGTGCCATTCATGCCCCCCAGCTTCAATGCAAAATTCCAATGTTGCAAACGGAAACCATGGTGAGGGAGTGGTATCTATGTCTGATTATCCTTTGTCCAAGGTGATTGTGTCAGCCTCTTCGGCGGCAGTGGCGCTGGCTTTTGATGCAGGAGGAATTGCAAGGCAGGAAGACATTTGGGTTGGCGACTTGACGGAGGAGGAAGCGAAGGAGTTTTTGGCACTGCATGGGCATGAGAACAAGTGGGAGGACTTCGTGGATGCTTGTGTTTCAGCTCAATTCAACAACATGTTGGTTGATTAAGGTGTGTTTGCTGCGTTCAAGTTGCGTTCATGTTTTTTTGGGGGGGACTTTGACCGAGTTCATTTCAGGTGGCTTCCGGATTGGCGACTTGGCGAAGGCCTGTGAGAATCTGAAGCGCCTGGCTTGAACGGATGATGATTTACTTTTTCGGTGTTCAAAACCTCTCAGGGATATGTGTTTTGTATCTCGTGAACTAAGGAAAGGAATGTCATTGGACAACACTAAGCAAGAGTATCAGCGACTTGCTACTGTGGAAGTTGTCGGCTTCATGGAGCTTCAAGTGCACCCCAAGGTCACGGGGCGCGAGATGTTGCAAGAGCTCCTCAAAGTTTATCCTGAAGGCATCCCAGAGGTTTTAAACGGCATCCGCATCCTCCCAAGGGAGGTTGCCGCACTAATTCGCAACAAGAGTTGTCATGCTGTGTATTTTCACCCAATCAAGAAGCGCTTCTTTTTTGCCTCCAAATTGCATAAGGAGGCCGCTGAAGCGCAACTGGCAAATCCATGACCGATCTTTTGCGAAAATGGACGGAAGACTTCAGCTCGTTCTTGCTTGTGCATTTGTTCCAGCCCCGTAAACACAACGCACGCATAGTATCAGATGTATCAGCTATGTGAGATGGTGTATCCCATTCAAGGATAGACGATTCAGGCATGCTGAGCCAAATCCATGCACCTGCACTTCAACATTTCCGGGGTGTGTTTGCGTTTGATTTGCTTTACCTGAAGATGAACAAGAAGGGCTGCGAGTTGTGTCCCCCAGCTCGTGGCTTTCTTCAAGGCCTTGTCCACGAAGCAGATCCTGGAGTTTCGCGCGCAATGAAACCCGACATGGACCTTGGAGTCTTTGCAGCTTGGCTGCTGTTTTTTTTTGGCCAGGTGAGTCGTGACATGAGGTTCGCGAGGATCATGACTTCTGAAAGACCAGAAAGAGCCTCAACCCCCAGTTCAATACTATACCCCGCCCCAGCTCCCACAGCAACATGTACACCAAACACCACAAAAAAACTAACAACAAACCATCACATTAACATCATCAACAACTCCAACAGCATACCTGTACCGAAGCATATGCATAGATTCAGCACAGAAGCCTACAACAAGAAACCGCACCAAAACTCAGCCAACCTAGGCAATGTGAAAAAAATGTTTACAATACTAAATGTGTTTTGTTCACGTGATGTGTTCTCCATGTCAGGAATCGCTACCCGTATTCCTGGCTCAAGGACTCAACCCACCGCGCAGGAAATCCTGTGTCCACTCGCAGCGCCGCCGGAGAGCCCCCTGCGGCCCCTGAAGCAACGGTGACGTCCACTGGGACTCCCGCTGCGGATGAGCAGCCTCCGGCACCTCCAGCTCCCACTGACGTACCGCCGCCCACCGGCATGGACTTTCTGCCTTGGCCTCCGCCCTGCTGGAGGCCAGCAACAATCAGGAAGCGGAGTTCAGGAGAGAAATGGACAGGCTCGACGAGGGCGACGTGCACGGGAGCTCCGCTGACGAGGACTCCGACGGCTCCGCCACGAAGGCAGGTGAGAAGGGCGAAGAGTCCGACCACCCGTCTCGTGACGACTCTGAAAAGGGCGACAAAGGCGAAGAGTCTGATCGTCCCTCTCAGAAGGAGCCGGAAGAGAAGGCTCCTCCGCCTCCCGAAGAGACGGGCGACGTCGAGCCGTCCTCCCAGACCTATGGCGTGCGTGCTCGCGCTCAGGAGTTAGGCTATGGGTCCGACCCCACTGAGGGCGGCCTGAGGCCGGCGGCGGTGCGACCTCCTGCACAAGTCAATCTTGACGAAAGGAGAACGCTGTTTCACTTGAGGAGGCCTTCCGCAAGCCCGACATGTTCCTACTCAGGCATGTCATTGCACGCGAGCTCAACCTGCCGCCCGTTGCGGCCAGCTTCTGCAACAAGGCCCGCCTTGCGAAGCAGCTGTCCAGCTCCGTGCTGACGCAGGCCAAGAAGCTCGACGCCAAGATCCCCGGCGAGCGCCATAAGCGCGAACAGCTTGCCAGAAGGGCGACCCCCGTGGATTGTGCCCATGCCCACATCGACCACGCCATCGTCGAGGGCGTCAAGACGAAGCACTACGTTGACTTCAGTCGCCCTGCGTCCTCGGATAGAGCCGAGTCTGACCAGTGGGTCATGGTCGCGGAGGCGATTGCTCCGCCTAATTTTTTCTTAGGAAATCCGGGATCAGATCGAGCACGCCTACATCTCCAGGCCGGGAAGATCCGGCCACTTCACCACGGGCCTCTTCGGCGAGAAGAACGCCCCGCTCGGCCACTCCGTCGCCTACCCGAACCGCGCGCGCACTGACGCGTTGCTGCACGACGGTGTGCGCCTCGGACTTGTCGACTCGCGCAACGGGCTTGTGATCCCGATGGATGACATCCATTGGGAGCCCGAATACGCGGGTTCCTACGAGCTGAACTCGCAGCTCACCGCTACCAGGGTGGGCATTGACCTCTCCCTGGCAGCAGCCAGCCGTCTCCCCCACATTCACCCACATGTCGCAGGTGCAGTTGCAGCCCTCAAGAAGGTGAGAAACTTTTTCGACTGCCTTCATGCTGCGCACCACAAGACCCAGCTGGGCACCATCCCGCTTCACCAGATCGTGGGTGACCCGGACTTCGTGGACGAGCACGCCGGAGCCCAACATGCCGGACACCTGGCGGAGCACTGCTCTGCGCGGCGAGTACCCGGACTGCTTGGCCCAATCCGTGGCACAGGTCTTCAGATCCATGTGCGGCCCGCTGTCGCTAACAACCGGCCAGAGAAACACAGCCACGGCCAAGGCCGACAAGACGGTCATCATTCGAAGAGACGAATCCGCATTCGTCAGGGGGGACAAGGTCATGGGCCTACCCTGGCCGGCCTATCGCAGGCCGACCAACAAGGAGATTGAGGAAGCCAACAGGGAGCTCAGCAAGCCCGAAGAGGGTGGCGCTGAGGCAACCCCAGCTGCGCCCACAGGCGAGCCCACTGAGAAGCTGGACGTGGAGATGACCGAAGCGCCCACAGCCGAAGAGGCTGGCGCAAAGGAAACTTCGGCCGGCGAAGCTGCCCCTCCGACCACGGAGCCCACGCCAGCTGCCCCCGAACAAGGGGTGCTGAGAAGACCGAGAGGACCGATGCCGAAGCGGCCCAGGACGAAGAGTCCACGGCTACAAAGGCGAAGGCTGAGGCAAAGGCTAAGGCGAAGGCGCGCCAGGACGAAGAGTCCAAAGCTGCCAAGGCCAAGGCCTCCCCTTCCATCTCATCCTCCTCCCATCTCGCTCCCTGAAACCGAAGAGGCCAGGAGCCCTCGACATCTACGACTCCGCTGGACCTTTCAGCGCTCCTCGTGACCTACACACTGGCGAGTTTGTGTACGTCGACGTCACCGAGGACGAGAGGAAGATGCTCCCCATGACGGTGACCAGTCAGGCGGACGCCGAACGCTGTGTGGCCATGATTCGGTCCGTGAACGAAGTGGCCCGAGATCAGGAACACACGGATGAGTGCCGGGAGTGGGAGAAGTCCAGCCTGGAGGACATCTGCTATTTCCGGTACGCCGTCCCGGGACAGCACAGGAATGTGCCTGCCGCCAAGTCGGCATCCAAGGTCATCGACTCCATCCCCGATGGGCAGTTTGTGCGCCCCAACAAGCCTGAGCCTCCAGTGTTGAGGTACGGTGCGGTGGCCATGCCGGACGACTCTCGGAAGAAGATGGAGGCGCTCAAGGAACGAGCGTCAGACTTCAATCTGGGAACGCTTGAGCTCCGGGAACGTGAGCTCGCGCCCAGGAACGATGACGTGGTGGCAGTTCTTTGCAACTACCTGCTGGCTGCCAAGCAGTTCCTGTAGAGAGGAGTCAGGACCCGTGGGGGTCCCATCATGCCGTCCAAAACCAACCCGGACATATCGATCCAGGCGCTGGTCCCCGCACCAGCCAAGCTTTTGGAGTACTTCTCCGTGAAGGCGATCAACGCCGCGGTGGACGAGATGAAGCGGCCCGATCTCTGCAGAACATGCGCTGAGATCAGGTCCGTGATGCGTGGGGATGCGCAGCAGCCGGATAAAAGCGGCGCAGTGCCCGATCCCCAGCTTGAGAAATCTGGTGCCACTGGACAGGGCAATGTAATGCCCATCAAGCAGGTTGCAGACCTGCTGGAGTACTTCTTTGGCACCTGCCTTGGCGACCACGAGGCTAGGGAGAGGACCATTCTCGCTGCCTTTATCAAGGCCGGCGTTGGCCTCTTTGAGGTCATCATCACCGTCCTCCGTGACAAGGACAACAAGGTCATCGAGGGTTCGGGCGTATCGTCTCTCCGATCCATTGAGATCGGGTGTGACACCAACTACAAGTCCTTCCGGGAAAGGCACACCTACCTGCTCTACGAGAGCCCTGTGTGCCTGCCCGTTGCGGCAAGGCTTTTGCCCAAGGTCTTGTACAAGGTGGTGCCACTGCGCGACTACCGACTACCGCCTCTACCTGGAGCGTGCCGACCCAAGTTGCGCAGAGCCAAGTTGCACAGAGCCAAGTTGCACAGAGCCAAGTTGCACAAAGCCAAGATGCACAGAGCCAAGTTGCGCAAAGCCAAGTTGCACGGAGCCAAGTTGCACAGAGCCAAGTTGCGCAGAGCCAAGTTTCGCAGAGCCAAGTGGCACAGATCCAAGTGGCACAGAGCCAAGTGGCACAGAGCCAAGTTGCACAGAGCCAAGTTGCACAGGGCCAAGTTGCACAGAGCCAAGTTGCACGGAGCCAAGTTGCACAAAGCCAAGTTGCACAGAGCCAAGTTGCACAGAGCCAAGTTGTGCAGAGCCAAGTTTCGCAGAGCCAAGTGGCACAGAGCCAAGTGGCACAGAGCCAAGTGGCACAGAGCCAAGTGGCACAGAGCCAAGTGGCACAGAGCCAAGTGGCACAGAGCCAAGTGGCACAGAGCCAAGTGGCACAGAGCCAAGTGGCACAGAGCCAAGTACAGAGCCAAGTTGCACAGAGCCGAGGTTAGGTAAAGAGCTTGCGTAGAGCTTCGGCGTAAGCAGCTATGTAAGTTGGTTTAGGTTTCTAAGGCGCAGGGGTGGGAGTTTGATCACCGCTTGGGATTGCGACCCTCTGCGGAGATCCGCGTGGTTGATGTTCAAAAACTGAGGCGTTTTACGATTCTTGATCTGCCCGCGCGACCCTCTGCAGAGATCCGCATGGTCGAGGTCAAAAAACTAAAGAATTCTAAAGATTTCTGCGGTGCGCGCGACTGCGGAGATCCGCGTGGTCGAGGTCAAAAAACTGTGGACTTTTTTCGATTTCTGCGGTAGATCCTCTGCGTAGATCTGCATGGTCGAGGTAAAAAATCCGTGAACTTTTTACGATTTCTGCGGCGGCGTGCGATCCTCTGCGGAGATCCGCGTGGTCGACGTCAAACAACAGCGGGCTTTTTGCGATTTCTGCGGTGCCCGCGCGACCCTCTGCAGAGATCTGCGTGGTCGAGGTCAAAAGACTGACGACTTTTACGATTTCTGCGATCCGCG